AGATTAAGAAACATTACAGTAAACAGTGATTTTGAACAAAACCCCCAACTCCTTTTAACACATTAGCAGGAGTCTGAGTGCCAAAATATGGATACCGTGACAAAGATAATAGTGTGAGCTCCAGAGCAATAGACAAAACTGGTACCGTCTGCGTTCTTTGAGAAATGAGTGGTCAGATTTAACATGGAGTCTAATGGAGCAGTTGGTTGGAGTTCATGTCGCTCTGCGGCTCTTTGAGCCAAATGTGTAAGTCCGTTGGATTCCATCGACACTTTACTGCGACCAGCACAACATTTCCAAGATTTTTGGCCAAAATGGTGTTTCAAGAGTAAAAATTGTGGGAGCTGGAGCAATTTGTTTGTAAAAATCACAGAATATTTTCAAGCTCCGCTCCACTCTGAAAAGTTATGCTCTCACTCTAGTCTAGCTCTTAACGAGCTGCGCAATACACACCCATTATAAAATCTGAAACAGACACAAAATTTTCCTGAAACGTAATCTGTGACTTCATGAAAAATGTGATAGCTATCAAAATGTCCCTTTGGCTCAATAAAGTGCAGCGTTTTGTCTACGTTTTAAACTTTGAATCATGTTTCTACGTTAATATACGGCTAGTTAATATGGGCCCAAAGTTAAGTGTTTTTTTTGCTCTCTTCACACCGGAACCCCATTCAAGTGCTCAGTTTTTGGGGATTTTCGGGAAAATAATAAAAAAAATAAAAAGCCCCACATGGTACTCAGGGATCAGGAAAGACACATTTATGTCTGCAGTCTTTCTATTCATTGTTTTATATCTAAAACAACACCACAAATGAAACCGCTGACATGTTTCATTGTTGGTTGAACCTTGTATGTATGCTCTGGGTCAAGATGGTGTGAAGTGTATCATCACACACATCACGGATTTATGGAAACACCTATTGTAAACACACACAAGTCCAAACAATTAACATTTACACAATTTTCTATAAGAAAAAAGTGAAGTTTGGCCTGAAGGTGGCACCAGAGCTACTGCCATGCTTTAAAAAAAAAAAAAAAAAAAAGGTTCATCAGCTATAGGTGGCAATTTAATCTCATGCTCTGGTCAGAATGCTCTCAGCACTCATCAGTCCAGTCTCAGTTTGCCCAAATTCAAAAGACACAAGAAGACATTTACGGGTTCAACAGGAATCTCAATGCTTCCTCCTGCAGTGCGGAGATTGTAAGAGGCCTTCAACAGCCCTATGATGACACGACACAGCACACCGGGTTAAAGAAACAAGCAGGATGACATTTTATCATCCTAGTCTGTTCCACAAGCAGGATGTCTGCACAACACTATGCACCCATCAGAACACATGTAATCCTTCAGGTTAGTCCCATTTTTATATACAGCAGCATGATTTAAAGTCATTATAGTGGGATAATTGGTGCGATAACCCCAATTTAACCACTGTATACATCTCGTATACTGGACACAACGCAGCCTTGACACACATACGGTATGAACTGTGTTCTTCATTTGCTGCACTGGTTTAAAACAAGAGAAACCCAGAGGATGAAATGAAGACAGGAGGATTTTTGCTAAAGAGCATTAGTTTATTTTCCACAGGTTACTTCAGAAACAGGTAATTATGTACAAAATCTGGAATGTTGGATAAATGCATATCAATCATCATCTTACTGTGGCCATTTCCAGAGCAACCTTAGAAATACTAGCTATACATTAAAACGAGTGCCTCTGCATTGCAATTTATTGCTGGTTTTACAATCGCAAGTCACTAATGCCGTTAATTATTTTCTCAATTTTTTTTTGAAGAGTATTTACAATTTGATTAGTAAGGTCTAAAAACCACAGAAGACTGCTAAATAAATAAGAACAATAGCGGAGCGTAAGAAACCGACTCACATGAGTGGAGAGAATGCGACATATTTTATCTCTAGATTGTCTACAATGTCCGACTGCACGTTTTTTTTCCATGAATATGAAGTGACCGTTAGCGCAGAAATGTTTCCCCCTAATCTCAAAGTCAACTGAACTCACCAACAAAATGAATACAAATAATAAAAACAACAATCCATCCGCGTAAAATACTAATTTCTGTGAGAAATTTGGGAAATGCACATTATTAATGTCATTGGCCCTGTGAATTAAAATGTACCAATTTTAGATTCAGTTTAAAAATTAAGCATACAGCTTCACTTATTAAAACAGTACTACTATTTCTATTTTAATTTTGTTAATTTTCACAGTGTTTTTATTTTGGTTAGACAGTGCCACAAGAATAAAATATGGGTCAATCGTCATTACATATGGGAACAGCAGATGACACAATCTACTGTAAACAAGTTGAGGAATGCCATTTTCTGAAACACTATAGGACAAAATTATATATTGTACAAATAATTCAGTGGTTACAAATCTATTGTTGGCCATTACTTTGTGAATCATTTCCATTGATGTTTTTTTTGGAAACACGTCTCACTGAAGAGTTATTTACCAGTGAATGAATATTAAGTGAGAATCTGAAGTGACACAACGTCGTCTTTAAAAAGTAATTTTTCCGTCCGACAGTTCTTTGACAAACATTAGGAATGTTCTGAGATGCAGCTTCGACTGGATTCTTTTAAATCAGGAGTTATGGTAATCTGAGCAAACAAACAGTAAAAAGCTCTCGGGCAAAGTGACACAAACATTCACTTCTACACAATGCAGAGAAATCTTTGTTGTTGGTTTTTTTTGAAGCACTGCCGTATATATTTCCTGTGCCATTTCATCACAAGAAAAAATTATTATTTCCACAATATAAAAATCATGTAAAATCATCAGTGACTGTTAGAAGATTGTGTTAAAAAAATGCTGTCTGATGTCTTTTGAATGAAAATAAAGGCTTTAAATATTGCTTTTAAGCCATTATATGCTGCACATGTACTCAGAAGGGTGTGATATTGCTTGGGTTCCTGTTCAAACAGTTCAAGGTCTATGGCACTTGACAACTTGTTTCTCCCGACTCTACTCTCCGTACAGCAAAGACTAAAAAAAACAAAAGAAATTACTTGAGAAACTTCTCCAATGTGATGAGTATAAAGCATGATAAAACATTTTTACAGACACAAAAGGCAAACTGTGGTCTTCTCCCATGTAAAAGATAAAACTTGACAGATGTTGAAACCAAAGCAATCACTCGTCTCACCAACGGCTGCCTGAAACATGAAGCCCTTAAAAAAAAAAAAGAAAAAAAAAAAGAGGAGTGAAACGTTGACCTGTTCTTTCTTAAGTTGTCTTCCTGCTTTTGCCTTCCGTCCACAATTTCTAAAACCTGCTTTGGTTAACTAGCACAACCGCCAAATCTTTCTCCGCTTAAAAAGGAATAGTTCTGGGGGGAAACACGCGCATTCACTTTCTGGGAGGACAAAGATCGCAGTAGATCGACAGCTACCACTCTCATTGCTCGGGCTTCTCAACTCCGTCTGAAAGCATACAAGCGTATTTTGCAAAATGTTAAACTTTAGCTTTAAACTAAATCTTCTGCCTGGCAAACCAGATTAAGGCTGAGCAAACACATGCTACACCTCTCCTCTCCCATTTCCTCCCGATATTTGAATTTCCTTTCTCCATCCTCATGAAATGATCACGTGCAGAGTGCATTTCTCCGAGCTGTGATTCATTCACATTACGAAGGATTGTTTCCACACAGCGCAGGTAGTGGTCCGGTGATATGCAGAGCAGTTGCTGTGAGGACATTGGGTGGGGGGGGGGAAACTGGGGACAGAAGTGTGCGCTGGAGGGTGTTCACAGGTTTATGGAAGCAGGGGTGGATGATCTCCTCTTCTCAACTCTTCGATCTTGCAAGAGAAATCTCAAAAATCTCAAAAATCTAAATCAAAACACCTCCTTGATCTACATTCGTCTCCACACGAAAAGCACGTAACATTGTCCTCCATATAAGATCGCACTGCAGATCAGAAAATGGTTTCAACATCTCAAATTAGAAGTTAAAAAAAAAAAAAAAAAAAAAAAGGCAAATTAGATGACAGAGGAGAGGGAATTCTGTCCCCAAGTGGTCAATTCATGTCGATCCACAGAAATAAAACCCTATTTATGATAAAGGATTTATGAGTTTTGGACAAAATGAAAGATGATCTGTACAGAGACCACAGTAATCACTTGCATCAGAGCAGGTCATATCTTCAGCTTCTTTTGTATAAAAATATATATACCACAGTGATGGCCTTTTGAGGACTCGTACTTGCAGAGGTTCGCCTCCTTCTCACTTTAATCCACTACATTCAGTGGTTTTCCCTGTTTAATCAAGGCTATGAAGATCTCTACTATAAATAGTCCCAACAGGTCAGTCTCCTCTGCGTATAAAAATATGAGAGTCAACATAAATTTCTCTGTTCGTCCGCTTTTGGGGTCAGTTTCAGTTGAGTCTATGCTTGCGCTTCTCTTATGATAATCATATCCACAGTGTTTGGAAACGTCTTCAGGAGGGACACTGCATGCAGATGATCGATATTCACAAAGCTATATCCATTAACCTGGAAGAAGAGACAGAATTTGGGTTAATATATGGAGTCAAATCACAATGAACATTTATTTAACTAATCACAGAAACATTGACATGTTTAGCTTTGTGATACTTTGTACAGAGAGCAGAGTACCTGTAGGATTTTATCTCCTGGCTGAAGAATCATGGATGCTGGTCCTTCAGGTTGAACCCTTGTCACAAATATACCCTGAAATCACATACAATATATTATTGAAATATATTAATTACACATATTAAGACTGGCTAAATTGTACGGATTCTTTTCCTAAAGTGGGTGTACAGTACCTCCTTATAAGGTGTCCTTTAAAGGGATTGTTCAGATCATTTAAATGGGGGTTGTATGAGCTACTTATCTATAATCAGTGTACATTAGATGGTTGGTTGGCACTCCCCCAGTTTGGAGAAAGACAGTTGGAGTTACTGCACAGAATGGTAAATGGACTTAGCAACTTTCTAGTCTTCTGACCAGTCAAAGCGCCTTTACACTACATGTCACTCCCCCATTCACACCCATTCATACACGGATGGCAGGAGCTACCATGGAAGGTGCCACCATCCATCAGGGCTAGTTAACCATTCACACACCGATGGCACAGCCTTCAGTTAACTAATCCTTTAAAACACAGTACATGCCTTTATATATATTATGTTCTTCTAGGGGGCTAAAATACGGTTTGCTGCTGCCTCCGTTCACAGCGGTACATCGCTTTGCTTCTGTGCCGGTACTCCTCTCCGAACTATCCCTTTAAGTCTGGTACCATGACAAATATAAACTTACATTGTCATCTGGTCGGAAGGGATTTCCCCGGCCGCCCACTCCTCCTGATATACTGAATCCCAGCTCTGGATTCTTCTCCACTTTCACACGGATCTGAAACACACCCACAGACTTTCATTAGCCATTAATTCACAGTCGTTTGCTGTTAATTACACAATTTTCCAACATTATCTTGAAAATCCCCAGCAGGAGGTTAGGAATCAGATTCTTACAACCTAAGATTCAAATACTTAAATGTCCCTTAAAGGCATAGTTCAACTCTTGGCAAGAAAGTTAATTATTTGTCATATTTGTCTGTTAAATATGAAGCTACAGCCAGCAGGTGGTTAGCTTAGCTTAGCATAAATACTGGAAACAAGGGAAGATGATTATTGATCTTCTTGTCAAACGTCGGCAAGAGAGGAAATAAACGCTTTCCCCAAAATGTCCAATTATTCACCTCTTGCACTGCGTCCTGCGGAACGCGTGGGGGCCCCGGGGGCTGATGGGAGACTTTGTGCATCAGGTAATCAATGAGCTGCTCTCTGGAAGGGTGGCGGGCCATGGGCGCCTGGTTCACCTGAGGACGAACAGAAGGGCCCATCTGACCGTTCATCAAAGGCACCTGGGAAACAAAAGCACAGTGATGAGCACAACAAGTTCATCATTGCTCTGCAGCCAACGGTCTGTATGTATCAAACCTACTTTTCTGTGGTGATCCAAGGTGTAGCTCTGCTGCGCTTGGGGAAACACATCATCCTGAAAGGGGAGAAAGCGATGATCATTAACACTGTGCCAAAACCTCACTCCACTGAACCTCATTAACAAAGGTTCATAGACTAGACGGCCAATGAGATACTGACGGGAACATTCTTCATGTCTGGTAATGGTATTAGGCAGTGATGTGTTGCTTTAGAAGGAGGTGAAAGGAACACATCTGATTAAAATTATGACGAACCGTGCTTCTATTTGACAGCATGTCATTCTGAATATTAACTTGCTGGAGATGAAGTGAATCTTAAATGATATGTAGGGAAGTGGTTACGCAAACACTCTCAGACATCACTAGAGGCACAAGCCATTTCTTGTCCTCCTCAACATATTCTAATATCTACTTTCTAATCACTTAGACAAACACCTCCGACCACTTACCTTTTGCAAACACAGTTTTCATTCCCCCCACACACACAAAGCGAGAGGATATGAAGTGATTCTGAAGTGCCCGAAAGTTGAAGTGAAGACGATGAATGAGCAAAATGAAGATTTAAAAGTGCAGTTAAAAAGGAGAAAAGAAAGAAATCACGGTAGCTGAGATGCATTAAAATCACAGGATGCGAGTGTGTGGCAGGGTGGGAGAGATAATGCACACACACACACCGGGAGGGACGATGATTATGATGTTAAAGCACCTGGCATGTTTAAAAGGGGGTGATTTGTACCATACATGATATTACATATCTGATTTCTAACTTAAGTTAAGGTAGGTTTTCTTTATGACGAGATTGGCCTGGGAAAGCTCAATAAAATAAGAAAAGGAGCGAGACTCTTTTTGTTGTCAGTTGGATTCAGAGAAAGTCTGAAAGTCACGAGACATACAAGCCTCCCTTTGCAGAATAACAAGAGAAACATCTTCATTACATAGCGAATGATATGTGGAAGATATACACCTATGAGTAGATTTTAAATCATTTCTAAATATGCTAAAACTTTGTAGCAGCCTTCAACAATTCAGATCTCTCTTTCTCAAATTCTATCATGGGGCAGTAAAGCGGATGATGGTACAAAAAAGTAGTCCCCTTTTAAACAAGTCAAACTGCATTACCACTAAGAGGAGCTACAGAACAAATTAGAATCCATCAATTTGTTCACTCAGAGAAGACAGTCACGTGTACTAGAAAGGGTCTGTGGTCGTGAGAAATCAGACATAAGGAGAGACATTATACTTTCACTTGCCAATAAAAAAAAGAGACAAGTGAAAGGTTCTGAGGGTCAGTGATCATTTCTCAACTTCGAGAAGAGAAGGAAACAGACAGTGCTTATCTTCTAAAGGATGTGAAACTAGCAGGAAGTGGAAGCCCTGGCTCAGTATGAGCTGCAGCAGCTAACTTCAGGTTCACACAGTACTCACACAGAAGCCCAGAGCTCCGTAGGGCTGTCCGTCCCTGGCACTAAAGACCAGAGACCCTTGGCTGGCATGTATATCCCTACAGCTGCCGTAGTGAGACCAGCTCAGCGGAGCGTTATTGGAATTATAGGAGCGAGACAGCGCATTCTGAACGGAGGGACGACACGGAACAACCAGAGCCGTGGCCATGCAATCCACCAAATGAGTGATGACATAAAAAGACACAACAAAAAGGTTTACGTCATATACAGACAAGCATGCAGTGAATCAGAAATATAGTGCATACAGCTGGGTTAGTAGGCTTCGGTAAACTCCATATTAAAGGGTCAATGCACCTAAATATCCGTAGTGGCGTCGAGCCAATTCAGGACTTTATATGAAAGTATATCCTTGTTGTGCTGCCTTGAAAGGATGATGGTGTTCATACTGTTGGTCTTTTAAGTGTGATCTACGTGTCATAGGTTAACCTTTATTATTATTTTCTACTTTTTTACCTTTTCCATTTTCTTGGCCTCGATGTGCCGCATCACCTGGTCCCTCCAATCAGCCGGCACCCTTCCTGCCCCAACTCCTCCCGACACCTGTCCGGGCCCATCCAGCAGCGAGTGCTCAGACTTCACCCTGGCGTTGGGCCTCTTGCTCGGACTGCCTTGATGGTAGTTGAAATCGCTGACAGACATGGTCCTCTCTGAGAGCTCGTGGGGCTGCGGCCTGGCGTTGACGGGCCGGGAAGCTCCGGGGACGTCGATGCTGTAGGTGCGGGCTGACAGGGGCCTCTGCATGGCATGGCTCATTGCCAGCGGCCCCCTAGCGAGGGTGTGGATGTCCCTGTACGTCATGTAGTCCCCTTCAGGCACCTGTATGCGCCTCGGGTCGCCCATGGAGGTTATGGAGGCTGTGGAGGCCGTGCTGCTTTGCCTCTGCAGAGTGCTGCTTCTACCCTGGCCTCCAGCAGAATGAAGTCTCTCCTTAGTCCACATGTCCCCAGAGAGTTTGGGAGCCATGGGAGTCCCCCTTTGCTGGGGCTGTAGAGAGTACGGAGGTGCTTGATTACGGTTGGAGTAGTTGGTGTTGGCTAGTGAGTGTGGAGGAGGAGGGAGGTAACCTTGGTGCTCTGGGGGCATGGGTGTCCTCTGGGACCAGAGGCCCTCTTTAGGCATGCCACTGCTCGCATACTGTATATTGTACTGAGGGGGAGGGATGCCCATGGCCATGCTGGAGGAGACTGGATATCTGCTGGTGCTGGCAGGGGGCTGAGAGGAGGAGAGCAGGTCTGAGGAAGACGCAGAGGAGCCGGGGTAGATCTGGAGAGTCTGGTCGTTGAGTAACTGACTGGCGGACTTGCTCCGGACGATGCTCTGGCCCTGAGCCCCCGGGCCGGCCCCTGCCATCCTAGTCATTCCCGCCGCGTCATAGGAGTCATCATCCCCGTCGAAGGAGTACAGCTTCAGGCCTCCCGCTTCTATGTTGCTGACACTGTGAGACTTCGACACCTGCGGGGGATGGCACCTTTTATCTGGAGACAGTTCCTCTGTGCTGCGAGACAGAGACATGTCACTGCTGGCTGTCACGCCTGTCGAGGCCACATGTGCGGCCTCAACTCTCATCGCTTGGCTTTTGTTCCCCAGACTATTGATGCAGTCGCCGGCCTGCTGGTTTCCATTCAGAAAACGCTCCTCCATGTTGTCGTTGCCAAAACCCTGCTTGCCGTCCAAGTCCTGGGTTACTGAACAGTTCTTTGTTTTGTCCACCTCGTCCAGCTGAACCATGTTGTCCGTTGGCAACTTGGACACGTTCATATTGATCTGGTCCCACTTGGTGTAGGATTCTCCCATGCCGTTGTTAAATCGCTTCTCAATGAAGGCCAGCCTGGCTTCCAATGACAGTTCGTAGTCGCCCATTTTATCTGGCGGAGTCTGCTGGGTTTTCAAAAGGGCCTGGAGGGACGTCTCAGAGCCATTTCCATTATGGAGGAGAGGGGTGCTGTCTTTAGGCTGGTTCATATTCTCATCCTCTTGTCTTAAACAAAGAAGGAGGTACGTCAGGTTTTGTAACAACAACAACATGAGGAAGACTCTCCTTTGTACTCTACGTTAAAAAGGTTCAGGAAAGATACAAACCGGCTTTTTGGTAGGAAGGGCATCTTTGCCTCTCTCTCAGGGGTGCACAGGGAGTTGTCCTGACTGCTGTCTGTGGTCAGAGACACCGAGTCAGACATGCGTGATGGCGACGAACAGTTACTGTTGTTCTGGTTGCTGTTGGCCACTGTGTCATCCAGCAAAGAGTCGGCGTCATCTGTTAATCAGAAACGTCCCTGTTAGCGTATTGTACATCAACACCGTCACTTTAAATATTGTATTTTAGTCACGCCATAAAAACTTTTACCTTTTTTGTCCTTAGTTAAAGTCACTACTTTAGGCTGGTTGATGGAGATCTCAATAAGAGGGGGTCTCATCTCTGCAATTTTCATCTCCTCCTCTTCATCAGACAGCTCGTCAGAATCCTGAAGGCAAAAGCCACAACATTCTTAAAGCGGCCTTTTTCAGTTAAACACTTCATAATGTGCTTGCTGTTTGAGTCGTTTGTGGAATTGTGAGGACTAAATAATTACCAGTGTGTCCTCATGGTTCATCATAGAGCCCCCCGAGGGTTTGAGAGGGACTTTCTGAGCGCTGTAAGACTCCGATGTGTCTTTTGATTCTGTTGCGGAGGGGTTGTGGGAAAACGTGTTGTGGGTGGATATTTGGGACTCCATGTCTGACGCCGTGCCATTGGGATAGGGAGCCTCTATCACCTGCACAACAAACAGTACAGATGCTCTATTTATCCAAAAACGTTCCTTCGACTTGCTTGTAGCATATGCAGTTTGTGAAGGAGGAACTAAAGGGGAACCAAGATTTAAAATAAGTAATATGTAAGACATGTCATTTGGCTGAAGCTGACCTTAACTCCCACGTCCTGCACTCCAATGTGGTTCCTCTCATTAGGTTTCGCATCCTTCCCCGACTCGTCACTCGACTCGTCCTCCTTAAGCCTGTGAGCCACAGACTGGGCCGTCTTCACCATGTTCTTCAGCTCGTCTGGGTATGGTGTCGGGTAGCGCTTCAGGTTTCCCTCCTGGAACAGGACACATATCCACAAATTTACCACTAAAATCATCTAGTAGCAGTTTCAGAAGTGGGACTCGCGGGAGGTAAAATATCAGTGTTGAATGGGAAATACATGGAGAATGAGGTGCATTCAACGCACACATTTCCCATGGATACAATGGCACTAATGTTGCGTCTGTTAGCCACAACAGCCACATCCAAGTGAAGACTGGTGCAAAAGTAATATTTGTACTCACACAATGGTTTTACAGTTTGGTAAAACATGTCACAGTGGTCATTTCTTATTCTTTTCCCACTTATGTGAACAACTGTTTGACACTAACCTTCGGGGGTGTTTCTCTGTCGTCCTTGTCCTCGTCACACTCGAAGGCCACCTGAGCTCGCTGCTTGCGCTGCTCCTCCCAGAGAGCTGGGTTGAAGCTTTCAGAGTCAGAGTTGGGGATGTCTGAAATAAAGGCAGACACCAGGAGGAGGAGGATTCGTTAGTTTAGTCAGTCACCCCCATTATGTTTAACTCAGACAAGTCTGACTTTGACCACAAGATGGCGCAAAGTCTACATGAGGCATGCCAATAAATTGAAGGAGATGTGGAGGAACTTGAAATTTAGGTTAACCCCTTACTCAAACCGAACCATTCAATGCATAAAGAATTCATGCTACTTGGAATTGTGACTATAATAAACCGACATCAAAATAAAAGATAGATTTTCTTGCAGGATTTGCCGCTAACTTTATCATGAATCAATCTGTGTAGTAGCATCTTACATTGGTGATCTGCCCGTCTCTGACACTTACTGCAAGTATCAACTGGAACATCGGTGTGTACATGTATCCCATCCTGTTTTTTATTTTTAAAGAAGTTATTTTGGTACAATAGAACTTGCCGTCATTTAAGCTTGACGTGTGAAAGGTGTGAATCAGTCCGTGTGGTTTCCTGTGTTAAAAAGCTCTTGAGCGACACATAGATACTCAGTGTGTGTACACAACAAACTTGCTGAGAGTTGAGAGCAGACCATATCAAGACCTGTTGTCTAGAATATAACACACCGTACCAGAGTCCGTCAATGCAGAGGGGATAACACGAGTCACCTGGTGTCCGTGTGGCTTTCGTAAAACATAATTATTGCAGTAAGGCCATGACTTATTCCAGGTCCTCAGGAAAGACACGAGGAAACAAATAAAGCTCTTTTGGAAAAGCTCCCAGCAGATAACTGTGGAAAACGGCATGAAGCAGATAGCTGGGAGATATCAAACAGAGGACAGAACATACAGCGGTGTCTTGTATGTCGACATTTTCTGGTGGCGCACCACAATACCGGCATTGTCGCAGAAATCGAGCCGTGGATTCAATACCATTTAGTTTAGACGCGCAGATCTTGAACCACTAATTACTCTAAAGCTAAGATGCAACAGGGTCAGCACAAGCCGTCTGGTGTAACAGGAGACCAAGCCAAACGAACAGATGCTCGACAAGAAGAAGAGGGCGAGTGTTTCTTCTGCAGCTTTTGTCTCAGATAACAAGGTCCCTCATAAAATATGAATATAGGAGCCCTTGCAGGTCATCTTTAAGACTGCTACGGTAAAGATGGTAGATGTTAGTCATGGCTGGTGCCTGAGAATTTTACATGAAAATACATGTGATCATGTTGGTCATACAAGTTCTAGGAATTCTAAGATTATCTGGTATTTCCTGATTGACAAGCTTAAATATTTGGTATACTAAGAACTAAACAGGCAAGAAACATTCTCAGATTTCAATGCCTCTCTTATGTTCTTTGATGATGACTCTTGTTGAGTGCACAGTACTCACACTCCTCGGTCCTGGTTTGCTGGGGGAACATGTAGTTGGTCAGCACAGTCTTGTGCGTCTCTGGGTCCTCCTCTTTCTGGAGAGGGATCAGGGGCTTTGACTGTGGGAGACAAAAAAAGAAAAGAAAAGAAGGTTAGAGTGTGCTATCTGTAATCAACAGCATCCTGGTGTTCCCTATGGCTCGCTTTGGCATGGCAAGAGGTGAACTGGGCTGCAACATACATACTTGCGACAAACCCCAAGTTGCACCAATAATTTCCTACAGTTCTTTACGCCCGAGTTTCTTCCTCTAATCTAAACAACCCACTGACCTCACTTTGACTGAGACACTTCTGTTAAGAACAGAGTCTCACCAATACATCAGCCAGGTTTGATATACCAAGTGACATTAGTCAGCTTATAGCTGATGAGAAAGTGAGTTATAGAAATGTTTTCAAACAGTGTCACCGTTCTATAGTTTGTTCCCCAGAAAGGTACATTTCAACTCTCAAATATCAACATTGGTACCGATTTAAAAATCCTGTATCTGTCTGGCTGTATCCGGTAATTTGCACGTTAAAAATCAGTTCCTCTCTCACTCTGTTGGCCAGACAAAGGACGTCCTGGAGGGGCTGCAAGCCCAGCTGCCCCTACGTTTGGCTCAGCTTGTTTCTCTGAGAACTTAAGATCCAGACCTTCAGGAGGTTTTTACCAGAAGTGAAAACAGCTGCAGAAGTCTCCTCCTCTCCAAAACAAGTGAACCCGGTGATCGAAACCAGTAAAAACACTGAATAAAGCAGTTTCACATCAAAAAGCTGTTTCTCTGATGCTGTACAGCAAACACAGGATGTCCCGGAGTTATCGTTAACATTTGCTCAGCTTGTTCTGCTTATATCTTTAGATCCATCCGATGAATAGAAACCCTTCATCTGGTTAAAATATATAATTAAAAACGCCAAAGAGCTAAAAAGTTGTAATATGTGGTTTAAAACTCGATCAAGAGTCAGTTTATGACATCTTCTGGGAGAAAACCTCAACACTGACACATGCCATGAGGATACGTTGCCATTACCTGCGACCAAAGGAAACGGACCGTTTGAACATTTTTGGAAACATTTGGGAAAATATAAGTACACAACTCACTAAAAAAAATGTATTGGATAGGTCTCGTTGTTTTTAAACATTTTTATGTGGAAAAGGCATTTGAACAGCTAGGATGAGAAAAATCATTAATTGATTTTAGAATGCGGTGACAGTCAACAGACTGGATCAATGCTCCCGCAGCATCTCCAACATCCCTTTGCATTACATTAAGACTCCTCTGCAAAGCTTCATACTAGAAGTTCTAGAACTCCTTTCCCATACAAAGCTACACTTCTATGACAAAGTGGGACTCAGAGCCACTTCCTGACACACGAGCCGAGCAGACTCAAAAGTTTCCACCTCTGATAGGCTTATCTTGTGGTCTGTCGAGGGCCAACTTAGCCAGGGCAGACGTCCAAACTTCAAGCGACACAACGTGTCCGGTAACATTGATCTCTCCACATCTGCTTTACTTATGGCTGTTTGCACAAACTATCCGTCTGTCATTCAGATCTGTGTCATACCACACCTTCAGGGTTTTTGACTGGCTTGTCTCGATTACCGTACTGCTAGTATATAGTAAGTATTGATGCAAGTATAACACTCATTGGGTTTACATTCATTGAGTTTACGGTATCACTGTCTGACCTGCACTGCCATTTAACATGTTTAGATCAAATGTCCTGGAAGTGGTTAACTAAATTTTGGATGTGTTTTCCTGTCAGCACCTTGACCTTGCTGGATTCATTTACAGCCGACTGCTGTGGCGAGTCACGCAACCCCACTGCCATTACGACATCTATAGAACACGTCACACGTCTGACAGCTCTGAACTCAGTAGCACCTTTTGTAAAAACCTTATAATTGTGATATATACACAATACATGTGGACTTACCTGATTCTCAGACAGCCACATTGCAGTCATCTGGTTCAGTTTAGTGAAACTGTAGGGGAGATTCCTCAACCTGCAGAGGAACAAAATACAAACAAAACACACGGGGACTCAGTCAGCTTGATGCACCTGTACCTCAAAATTCATTGTGGAAGGTAAATCTAACGTGTGAGGGTCCGTTATAAAGTGTTGCTCAAGCCATCCGTCAGTGTTTTTGGGTCGTAACCAAAGTGAGACAGTGTATTTGGCAAAGAGCAGACACCGGGAGTGGAAAACCCCCCCGATTAAAACCTCAATCAGGCCGTAGCATCCATAACAGCCCATTTTCATTCTGACCAGAATTAAGACTCTAAATCAATCATGATGTTGCAGGACTGCCTTTTAAAATGCAATATAAATATCCATAGATAGATAGATAGATAGATATATTTTGTATTGATTAATTGATTTGTCAATTAAAACAGATTTAATTTCCAATGATAACAGAGAAAAGGGCCAGGGCATGATTGGAATTTTCTGCTTTTTCTATGTTGCAACAATTCAAAATAAACGGAGTAAAACAATGACTGTTGTCCTTAAACTTGACGCTTCTTCTGAGTGAATACCGTCAGTCTTGACTCACTTGTTGTTGCTGAGATTGATGACTTTAAGCTTCTGCATGTCGCCCATTTCCTCAGGCAAAGACTCCAGCTTGTTGGAATGTAGGAACAGCACAGTTGCGTTCTTCCAGTTGCCCATCTGTGAAGTGGCGGAAACCAAGAGCCATGAGCCAACAAGGATCTTGCCGTTACAGATGAGCAGACTGGCTTGCCACACCATTTAACACGAGCTTCTCACACACACACACACACACACACACACACACACACACACACACACAC